TGAAAATTACGCAAAAAAATTACATTTTGGTGGTCATGTTGTCGTACCTGATTACGTTTGGAATATTTGACCTTTTCACATGAAGAAAACTATCTAAGTATCTACTTTATATTAAAAGGTTTATGGTAAGTAAGTATTTTATTTAAAGATCTATTTTTTCTAACTTAGCTACGAACACTCAGACAGGATCTTTAAATAATTTCAAACTAGAATTCTAGCCAACTTATTACTAAATCTGTGATTCTATTAAATAAATACACAATTTTGAACATCGATAAACAAATCTCCGTATTCTGTAACATTTGATAAAACACAATTTATTAAAATTATTTTTACGTGATACTTATTTAAATATTCTTCAATCGTTGCCACCTTCTGGCACACGATGTGAATTATTTGACTTTCCTATACAAATTAGTGCTGAATAAAACCCCAGGTCGTTTGAAGGAAACCTTGAAGCCCCTTGAACTTGTAGGAACGAACACTATTGATGTAGGCAGTGCGCATGTCACGTTACTAACGTGGTCAAGTGTTGGTTCCTTCGTGGCAGCTATTCGTCACTTCTGTGGTATAAGTAGACTGGGCTATGTAGACAGTCGTTGCGGGTTCGAATATCGGTAGGGTCAAATTTTAGTGAGATGGCCTTAAGTATAGTTATCAACAAAGGAAAGCCTGAAAATCTACAAATACACAAGTTCTGCTATAGGTAGAGCAAGTCAATTACTTAGTTTGGGACGTGAAATACAAACTTAAGACCTTAAAAAGGTTAGAAAAAGCTAGGAAACAATTAGTGCCTAATAGAACCTTATGACATTTTTTCAGTACCAACGTAAGACAAGTATCTAATTACTTACATAATTGGGAAAGTCGTATTTTACTGACAAATAGAAGGCTACCACTCAAAACCATCCTACTAATCTTACTAGTCCTACTAATTCCTACTAATATTATAAATGCGAAAGTTTGTGTGGAATATGTCTGGATGTCTGGATGTTTGTTACTCTTTCACGCAAAAACTACTGAACGGATTTTGTTGAAACTTTACAGTATTATTGTTTATAACCCAGACTAACATAATTTATTATAGGCTATAATTTATGACGATATGTGACAAACTAAATTTCAATAAATAAATAAGACGTGTGTAAAAAGCGCCATCTATCGTCATTGGTTAAAATCTACAGCCAAAAATCTATACTTATAATAAATCTGTAGAGAGGTCAATTCTGTACATTAAATATATTTTCAAAATAACTATCAGGGGGTGATTAGTGATCGATACTGATGCCAAAAATGCAATCAGTAAAATTTTTGTCTGTCTGTCTGTCTGTCTGTCTGTCTGTCTGTCTGTCTGTCTGTCTGTATGTTCCTTATAGAAACAAAAACTACTGGACGGATTTTAACGAAACTTGGTACAATTATTCTTCATACTCCTGGGCAGGTTATAGGATACTTAGGAATTCCCACGGGAATGGGAATTAGCGGGAAAATCGTTTTGTATGAAAAATCTGAACCGCTTAAGTTAGACGCTTGAAATTCGGCATGCAGGTACCTTAGTAAACTTAAAGCTTAGTTACAACAGGATATTGCAAAATTCCCACGGGAACGGGAGTTAGCGGGAAAAAACATTTGTAAGAAAAATCTAAACCGCTTAAGTTAGACGCTTGAAATTTGGCATGCAGGTACCTTAGTAAACTTGAAGCTTAGTTACAACAGGATATTGCAAAATTCCCACGGGAACGGGAGTTAGCGGAAAAAAACATTTGTATGAAAAATCTAAACCGCGTAAGATAGATGAAGGGGGTAAAACGGGATCCACGCGTACGAAGTCGCGGGCGGCCGCTAGTCCCTAATAAAAATGAAGCAAACACATAAACTTTAGCAAGCCCTCGATACGTATTGGAAAAAATCGAACCCATATTATTTCGCCGTCAACCTAACGAGTTTTAAATGTACGTGTCTCAACATTAAAAGCATTTTATTTCCCGGAAAGTTAATTTCCGAGAAACAAATGGGGTCGCGTGCGGCGCGCCATCAGATGGACCGATGCAGTGGCCCGAATGTTTGTGTTTGATGCATTGCCGTATCAACATCATAAAGAATAACACCCGTTTCACAAACATTACTATGAGGTCTTGCTAAAATCAAGTGGCAGTGGGCGCGGCACATAGCTCGTAGAGACAATGGCCGTTGGGGCAGAAAAGTCCTCAAGTGGCGACCACGAGCTGGAAGACGTAGCGTGGGCAGGTCTCCCACTAGGTGGATCGACAATCTGGTGAAGGTCGCGAGAACAGCCTGGAAGCGGGTAGCGCAGGATCGTTATGGAAATCCTTGGGGAGGCCTTTGTCCAGCAGTGGACGTCATTTGGCTGAAACGAACGACTATGAGGTCTCAAAGTGCGCGTGGACGCACAGGGTCCCAACCAAAACCTATTCATAGACAATACTTGAGTGGCGGAGTGACACGAACCAATCACAGAGCTCTTTTCAACGCTGTGCGTGCGATTTCGCATAGCGTTGCTGCTTCATAAGCAGGCATCGTTTGTGAATACGGGTGTAAAAACTCATTGAATTAAAGACCTATAACTAACCTTCTAAAACTGGAACTACTTTTTCGCCACAGGACACAATGTTCCGCTAATATCACGTGCGCAGCTTTTACACGGTACTTTAACTGTAACAAACATCAAAATCTGTTAAACTCCATACACAAAAACACCGGTTATGGATAGAGTTACAACTAAAGTAAGATGCAGCAGCATATAAACAATCTAGGGTTCTTTTCAGTCATTACACTTTTGACAGAATAGTCGTAGTTGTAGTCGTTGTGAATGTGATTTGTTGTGAGCGGATGTTGCAATGCGATATCTCGCCATCTTTGTTTTGATTTTGATTTTTTTTGATTTTTTCCCTATTGGTAGATCACTCTAGGATTAGCGTAAATCTGTACCAGTTCAGTACCTCGGGAAAGACAAACAGCCATTGGCCTCACAATTAATCACAAGAAAATTAGATGAGTTCCAAGCTAAGGATCGTCATTTTACCAGTTGCAATGCAAAGCAAAAAGCAAATAATATTGAAGTCTGTTGATACCAACGAGCTAAAACGCAATCTGTGTTTCACACAAAAAAAACTAGCAATGAAACCTAGTTTAATAGTTGCATAAACCTGCAATAACCTTAATGCACATAGCTATGCATTATTGAAGTACAGTTTGCCATAATTTCCCGCTGGATACGGAGGAATAATTTCGTTACCCGCATAGCGCCGTGTCATCGGCCTCCATAGCTGCAGTGGCAATGAACTTACTGTTTTACATTTCAGCGTTTTTCACTTGCATAACACTAGCGTTTGCCCCCGGGTTCTGATTGTACGGTTTATTAGCAATCAGTCGCTCTTTGAACAACATAACTTCACTTCGAGCAGGGAATGCAATCATGCTGTAGGGAATAAAGCATAGACGGATTCCTTGAGCAATTGCTCGTAATTAAAGGGTATTCAACTCGGAATTATCGTGTTGTACAGAACAAAGTTAGGTTAGATTTATTAGATTTCAAGTAAGAAAGACATCGCGCAGGTGTCATAGAAGCCGTGAACTCACGCAAGCCGTTTAGTATAAGATTACTATTCAGTTATTTAATAACGTACATGCATCAACAAAATAAAAGAACTGAACAATTTCAATAAGTAGCTCTACCATAATTAATTATTTTTAATCAGTACAATCACAGTTAGGTTATAAATGACATTGCACTTGGCAACTTACCTGATTGAAACACCACCCACGGCTCCGCCCGAGTGGAAACCTATTTGTACCACTTGAGGGCCATTACGTCCTTCCCTCGGCAAATAGAATACAAGTTATTGAGCTACAGGCGTAAATTGTCTGGAAACTGGAACGCAGTTACACAGCAAATGCAACCGAGTTTTAAAACCTACCTTCAACTCCGATTTGCGAGAATTTGTAACATCTCTCTCTACCTCCAAAAGTACAGAAAATTTTGAGAAATTGCTCATCAATGTTATGTAGGTAGTTGTTATGTGCTAAAATTTTACTGCAAAATACCCGCAAGATAATAAAATCCAGACGTTACTTCGGACTTATCACGTTTTATGTTTGTTGGCAACATTTTTGATAGTTTCTCGTTAATGTAGACGAGATTTTGAATTTTGAAACTTGGTCACCATCATGCCATTAAGTAAGGAACTTTTATTAGTTAAAATATGGTATCATGGTATCAAGATACCTACATAATATTAATAATATGTCACGCAAGCTCTAAGTAGATAAGTGATCGAGCCACATTATTGGTGCATGAAACATTGCTATTCATATTATGTCAGGCGCGTGCATACATTACATAACTAGATGTCAATTTAATAGTGTACTAAAACCTAGACAAACCATTTAGGGTTGGAGCCAAGGTCACTGGACGTCGCATTAAATAAAGGCAATTTGGGAATAAGCCAACTCCCTTGAACTGTGTCCACATTTTGCCATTGTGACTAGCCGTTAGCTCGCTGCGTACCTACCGCAAACAACATAGCAATCACTAGGATGTGAAACATGAAAAAAAAGAACACATTTGATCTATTTGTTTTTGAGTTTTCAAGAAAGTGTGGCTATTCTTAGGCGTATAGAGTCAGGAAATAAGGCACTAGGATAGATCTCCCAATCTAAGTCCTGTTTATGAAATAAATAATTCCGTTTTAATATTTAGTTTGGTTCTAAAATATTTGAAAAGCAACCAATTTATTATTAAAGCAACATAAAACAGAAACGAGTGTTTTGATTAACTACTTACATCGTGTTTTTATTGTAAAAAGTAAGGAATTAGGTATTTATTTTAAAACTATATGTAACAATTAATTAAAAACCTCTTATTACAAAAGTTTATTGGAATCGATAATCATTACCGGTTTCAATTGAATACGAATCGATTTATTATGTTACAAGTGTGTTACATGTTTTTTTTATATGGCAACATCACATCATTGACAGCCAGCTTTCCGTCAGTCACTCCGTCAGCGTAGTATTTTCATGCTAAAATTCAAGATTATTATTGAGATTTAGCGTAAATAAATCTTCAATGACCAAGTTTTCATGTTAACAAGTGTATCGCAAGTGCAAATAGTTAATGAGGCGGACGCAGGAAGCGTGCTATAGTTCGGACTCACTCATTGTAATGAAAAATGTCGACGCTGTATGGATCTACATACAACAGAACAAAACGAAAGTGACTAGTTGACCGTGTGTTGCTGGGTGATTATTCTCGTTCCTAGACCTAATTCCTGCCTTTAAAATGGCGCAGACCGTGAGGCGTGCCATTGAGGGCAGATACCCATCCTGTTACATACCAAGTAGAATAAAAGAAAGGCGAGCCAAAGCCAGGGCATTAAGGTAAGTTTTAAACTACTTCATCCAATTAAAACCGTGTTGTTATTCCCTACTCAGCATATGACCATGAAACTGCGTGGTTTATGCATTTATTTTTGCTGTGAAAATCCAGTGAGTTGTGTCCTCATTTCCATACAAAATTTCGTTGTATGTGTAAATCATCACTTTTAACACATTCGCGAATCAATGTGTGAGTAGAAAGTGGTTTTTATGTAATGAAACAAGGTTTTTTAATATGAAAAACATGTGCCAGCCTGCTTATATTGCCTTAAAAGCGAATAAAATATCAAAACACCATTGAATAGCAATTTTATTTCTACTCACAAAAGTATTCAGTATGGTATTTTAATAATCACTATTCAATTCAACTGTAATTCTAACATTTAAGTGACTTGTTGTTGTTATAATTTGTTTTCAATATCAGAACCTGTAAGTTTATCTATTTATTCCATCAGTGATATAACGAAATTGTAATTTCCTTGCAGATTAGAACAACAAAGAAAGCCAGATAAGCCGGAGGACTTTGTGTGTTACTCGGACAGCGACAGCGAAGAGGAAACACCGGCACAACAACACCGAACTCTCTGCACCTCATACAATTTTGTGGACTATGTCCGCTCTAGGGAAATATTGGCTCCAGAGGTAATTAAAACTATCTAGAATTCTAAACATAACTAATTTCATTTATTTAGTTTTAAGTTGTTTAATTGCAAACTAGTTTGTATCTTATCATTTAAAGATTTTTCTGAGTGAAGTCTCATGTTTTTAGATCATTTTAGACTTACCTCCTAGTCTGAGATTAACTAAATGATTTTTCATGTCATTGACCTCCTTTCTTTGGCAAAGGAATTTCTGAAGGAAAATCCTTTTTGTATGTTACTATTTACATCAAGCAATCAATTCATACCAGGTACATTACAAAAAAAAACTTGAACATGCATTAATATACATTTTAAGTAAAATTTTAAATAAAAAGATAAGTATTCTATGTGGGACACAACATACTAACATTTTAAATCTTCTCTAAGATCAAATTGTAAAAATTTATCTTAGTATCTTATTTATTTATATGAGATAAGAAATTAAACCAAACACTAAAATGTTAATTTCATCATCTCACAGCACAAAGTCAATAAAGAATTAGTAAAAGAGGTTCCTGCCTCGTCCATAGATGACTGATAAGTAATGATAAGTTATAGATGCTACAAATAAACAAATAAAATTATACTGATAATTATTATAGTCATTATGTGACTATAATGTTATTTATAAATAGCTATTTGTTTGTAAATAAATAAACTTAAAGTGACTAAACTGATACCATCTATTTCATCAGGAAATTGTTAATAGTAGTATATGTTCTGGTTTCTGAGATATTTCCAAAATAAATTAGTTTAGTACATACTTGTAATGGATGACATTCAGAAACAACTGTTGAAACTTCTTTTAAGTATCAAATTAAAAACAATAATAAATAAGAAACTAAACAAAAATTTATGAATTAAAATAGATTTTGCTTTAAATTAAACAAAATTATGAACTCAAGATTCAGAAAACTCATAGATGAGCACCGGAGCCCAAAACAAGCTATAAATAGCTCCAGTATTTACCTTTCGCGCGTTGCAAGGACGCAGCTTCGCTACATTGTTGCTAATCTTATCTGCTGCACTCACCGATGCCCTCAATTTGACACCAACAATTATGCCCAAAACAAAGCAAGGTTACACTAATTACTCTAATAAATTATGAATCGTTTACCTATTCAATCATTCATAGTTTGTTGTGCCCGTAATTTTGTGTATTAAATATTTCAATAATAGTGGAAAATTGATGTCGCCGGCTTGACATGCGAATTTTGATACGTCATTAGATTGAAATCGCATATTTATTACTCTATCTATTATTAATATGTAGTGTATGGCAGTTATATTCTAATGCAAAATATGGACGAAAAAGATGGCCCGGCTTACCAATGTTACACTAAATACGCCTGAATACTTGCGTAACTCAATATAAGTGAGATGTGAAGACTGAATGTGTATATTATTGATTTACAATTTGCAATGTTGCACTTGTTGTATCGTTACAGCCGCGGTCAGTGAACTCGTCCGTCGTACGTAATGCTGCAACTGCCCATACACTACATGTATTAATTCTCAATAACCCAATCAAATGTTGCACATGTTGTATCGTAGCAGCCGCGCACGCTCTAATACCCAATCACAATCTCGCACGTGTTGTATCGTTGCAGCCGCGCTCAGTGGACCCGTCGTACGCGACGCGACACTTGCTGCCACACGACATGTATTAGTTAAGGCTCTCAAATACCCAATCGTAATGTAGCACGTGATGTATCGTTGCAGCCTCGCTCGGTGGACCCGTCGTACGCGACGCGACACATGCTCACGCACGACATGTTCCGCGAGACGCCCGTCAACCTCGGCAACATGAACAAAGTGTTCTGCTCGCAGTGGCTCTCAGACAGGCAGGTCGTGTTCGGCACCAAGTGTAATAAGGTAAAATAAAATTTACTTTTTTGACTTTTCTGATCCACATTGATTGCTCTGATTCAGTTGTCCAGGATGGATGCAGTGCCTGATACCCTTAGATTGAGAATAGACAATATTGTGCTTTGTAATATGTATATCCAAAGATATTGTATCGCGGAAACGTTACTCATCATCACGCGCATAACAATATCGTTATCGCTATTTGATTATTATCTGTGGTGCGATCACTGCCGCCCCTATTTCGATCCGTAAAAGCGAGAACATCTCGCTCTCGCCACACGCAACTTTTCCCTGTTCGGTGTTTAAGAAAAATTTGTTTGCCTCAAATATTTTCATATGGCTTAGGCCCAGTTTTATGATTCATAGTTAAAATTACAAATTGTTAAATTTTGCTACTAATGGTTAAATATTAACAAAATGTTAACTAATAGTTAAAAAATGTACTAAAAGTCAAGCTATAGATGACCCACGCTGAACTGTCCCACCAAACTCAATGACAGGGGGGCGCTACCATCGTTCAACTATATGGTTTCCAACATGACAAAAATCTGAACCAGCGATCCGGTATTGACGGTGGCGCCCCACTGTCATCGACAGGACAGTCCAGTATTTTGGAACTAAAACCATTGTTCGAAAAACATTTTTTTCTGATATTTAACCACTTGTCATTTGACATCTGTCAAATTTGACCATTGGTTATTTTAACTACGAATCAAAAAACCGGGCCTTAGAAAACGACTTATTTATTTACTTGTAACCAACAGCTAATGGTGTATGACGTACGAACGCGGTCGCTGGACGCCATTCCCACGCTGCGGCCGCGCGCGCCGTGGGCCGGGCCCGACCACCAGACCGGAATCCACGCGCTGCAGATCAACCCTTCCAGGTACATAGTGCTTTGCTGTGGTTTTACCTAAATTTTGAGTCAAGGGAGCTGACTTAGGCAAGTCAGTTTCTTTTGGAAAGGGTGGGTCCCCTGCGCTTAGACACTTAAGTTCGTAATATAAGGTCGTTTTCTAGGGAAGTACTATTTCCAGGGCGGAGGGGGCTTACTGCCCTCATCTCTTTTGACAAAGCTACCATTCCTACGAACCTTGCTCTCCTACGAATATTAGACTAATAATCTATTGACTGTATTTTCTTTCAGAACATTATTAGCCACCGGAGCGAGAAACTCGTGTGAACTAGCCATATACAGCCTGCCCACTCTAGACCCGGTGTGTGTGGGGGAAGCGCATAAAGACTGGGTAAGCCACATTTGAAGAAATCTCAGAATCGCGTTCGGTCTTGAGCTTTGTGTTTGCTCCGTGAAGCGTTTTCGAAATCATAACTTCCACGTTCTGGATTTCCACAAAGACCGGTCCTGCGCCGCTCGCATCCAGGCACCTCCCGCGACCCTCACCAGATCGTCGGTCCACCTAGTGGGAGGCCTGCCCACGCTACGTCTTCCGGCTCGTGGGCGCCCCTCAAGAACTTTCTTGCCCCAGCGGCCATCAGTTCTTCGAGCTATGTGCCCCGTCCACTGCCACTTGATTTTAGCGATTCTGCTGTTCTGTATCTTGACATTATCTCGTGATCCGGTTTTGCGGGCATCGAGACACTCAAAAACGCGTAAGAATGGCACTCTTTACGAATATTACACATTAACACGGTATTACTTTACCATTACTACACACACACCTATACAAACAGTTTTATCTTTTTATTAGTATTCTTTTCATTAGTATTCTTAAACGTAGTCTTATCATCCTTACCGATTTCCCGCCTTTTGTATTTATCTGTGCACTAATACTATTATGTATGTTTAGAAAATATTATGCAGCTTACTATTTTATTTATTTTACCAATGGTCCGTGACCCTCACTCGGCATGGGGCACACTGAAAACCAGCGCCGTGGGCCACGGCATATGCTGAGTGGGGTCCCGTTGCAGTGGGCATCTTGTTGGTGGATGGGTGGCACTGCTCAGTTTACTCTTGTTTTTATTTTTTCTTGTTCCATTATTATGTGCCACTGTCATGTCTATGTAATTGCCTGTATTTGTGTGATGTCCATTGTAATAAATGTATCTTTCTTTCTTTCTTTCTGATTCAGATCCTGGACATGTGCTGGCTGGACGACGAGTTCCTTGTGACGGGGTCGCGCGATTCAAAGCTGGCGTTGTGGCGCGCGCCCGACGTCGCGCCACGATCCGCGCCGCAACACGATTATGTGGCCCCGCTCGCTATCAAGGAATGCCGCTCCGGTAAGATATAACAACTAAAGCCCGGTCCGTGAGCACGTATTTTGTCCAATGACCCCTAGCTACCCATACTTATCGCTCGCGCGTAATTATATTGCTTGATATAAGTCTCTCTGAGACTAACTCTATCCGAGTTCAATGAGGGCTATCGTTTTTATACTTAACAGTTGGCACCCCTTTTTTTTTTAATAGATTATTAGTAACTAGCTTTCTGCCCGCGGCTTCGCCCGCGTGGAATTTTGTCTGTCACAGAAAAACTTTATCGCGCGCGTCCCTGTTTCAAAAACCGGGATAAAAACTATCCTATGTCCATTCCCGGGACTCAAACTATGTCCCTGCCAAATTTCATCGAAATCGGTTGCGAGGTTTAAGCGGGAAAGCGTAACAGACAGACAGACAGACAGAGTTACTTTCGCATTTATAATATTAGTTGGGATTTGTTATTACACAAATTACTAATACTCCCGTTAGCCCCTCGTACTAAGCTAAATATGCTTGTGTCACGAGTGAGCTCACCACAATAGTCGAGCGGCGGCGGGGACCGAACCGGATCACGAGTCGGCCAGTCCGACCCCTTCACCGTTCGGCTATCGTGGCTTTTGACATTCCCTGGCGATTGACAGGACCTTACTCTACAGTGGCGCCATCTCGATGAGTGCAAATGCGATAGTCCTACCACTTTAGCACTCACCAGTTGGTGCCACTGTCTTCGCTACTAGCAAGTGACAGGACCTTACTCTACAGTGGCGCAAACTGGTGAGCGCTAAAACGATTGACGATGATTGGCATTAACAAAATAAGACCAGTTGGCACTTGCGCGGGTTACGTGACTCCAACCAGCTCTCTAGCTAATGTGGCGCCGCTCGCTATCAAGGAGTGCCGCTCCGGTAAAAGAAATAAAGCCCGGTCCGTGAGCACGTAGAATTTTGTCCAATGACCCCAAGCTACCCATCCTTATCGCTCGCGCGTAATTATATTGCTGTCGCGACTGTGACGGGCGCCCGTAGTGAGTGTGCGAGCGCGATAGCAACATAATTACGCGCGAGCGATAAGAATGGGTAGCTTGGGGTCATTGGACAAAATTCTACGTGCTCGACCAGACTATGTCTGAATCTAATTGGAATTAACAATATAAGAAGGCAGGCATGCGTTGCCAGTTGGCAGTTTAGCACTTGCGCGGGTCACGTGATTCCCAGCTGTTACACGACTATGTCGCGCCGCTCCGGTATGTAGCTCTGGTTAGATAACAGAGCTAAAACCCAATTCATTGACAGACAAAAAAGAAGACAAGCGTTACTAGTGGGCGCCTGTGCACTGCAGGTCACGTGACTCACTTAGTATCGATCGCCGTCAAGAAGTGCCGCTCCAGTGAGATATCAAAACTATCTGGTTCTCAAAACGTTGCCATTAAAATAGAGACAGGCGCTGCCAGTTGGCGCCAGCGCTGGTCATGTGACACGTAGCTGTTATACAACTATGTCGCGCGGCTCGCCATCTAGGAGTGCCGCTCCAGTGAGCTATGTCTCTCTGAGACTAACTCTATCCGAGTCCAATTAGCATTAACAATATAAGAAGGCAGGCATGCGTTGCCAGTTGGCACCCGCGTCGTTCACGTGACCTAGTTGGTGCCATGGCAGACAGCTGTCGAAAGTCACGTGACTCCCTTCTAGCGCCGAGGCAGTTGGTTAAGTAGTCAAGTGACTTTTGCCAATAGAGCCTAAGTTCCCTTTTTTTTCATATTTGACCCCACCGTTCATGTTACCTAATGTCAAGGCGGAAGGAAAGTGTTTTTGTAGTCTTGAAATCGCTGCCTATTCTCTATGATTCGTGCAACCACATCTATACCAGTAGGCACAGTTATTTTAATCAATAATAATAATAAGGCAGTTATCCTGAACACCTGTAGAATAGTCAGAAAATTTTTGCAAGTTCACGAAACCCCTAGCCAATTAAGACAGCTACCACCAGCACAAACGCAGCAACATAATAATTTAAATTAGGTACGAATATTGAATCGGGATTGCACTTGGCTTAGGCCTGTGTTTTCCTCTGATACCAGCCATGAGCTGAGACACAAAAGTGTAAACCGAAAATAATAATAATAAATACACTTTATTGCACACCAAACAAATAACATAACAGAAAGAAAAGGAACACACATCTATCTACGTATCCCCGCTGCAGGTCAGAAGGTGCGCGCGCTGACGTTCAACAGCCGCTGGCGCGAGATCGCAGCGCTGACACTGAACGGCTACATCCACGTGTTCAGCGCCGAGAGCTTCCGCCAGAAGCTGTCCCGCAAGCTGCCCTCCTGCCAGGACCTCGTCTGCCTCGCCACGCAGGTATGGACGCTGCGACTGCCTTAGGCCTTGTTCAGACACGCGGGTTGTTGGTGCTTCTTCTCACCCTCTCTTGGCGAGGCACATACGGTAACCGTATGGTTACGGTTCGACGCAAACTGTCTGAGAACTCATAAAAAAAAACTCATTTATTTTTGAAAATAGGCTTTTAAAAAGCACTTTTTAACTGCCCAGCAACCGCGCGGATTCCGATGTGTCTGAACTAGGCCTAATGCCCGCTGATAGAAGACACAGTTCCATGCGATCCGCTATGAATACGAAACCGGTCAGCAGTGCCACTCAAAACTCAATGTAATTCAGACTTAGATTCCAGCTTCTGATTGGTTGATGGGAAAAAAATAATCACAAGCTCAATATCTACTGTACGTACACTGTTGTTGAACATAACAATCATTTATATCTCTACCATTTGTCAATATTGTCCATTTATGTACAGGAAAGCGGCGTATACGCGATCGGTTGTAAATCCTACACGCTACTACTAGATTGCCGCACGCTACAGTCCGTGAAGAAGATCACGTCGCGCTACAACGGCTGCGGCATCCGCTCCGCCAGCTTCCGCGGCAACATGCTCACCATCGGCACGGGGCTGGGTACGTACACGCTACATGCGACTTCATGTGCTCTACACGCTACACGCGACTTCGTGTGCTCTACACGCTACACACGACTTCGTGTGCTCTACACGCTACACGCGACTTCGTGTGCTCTACACGCTACAGATTACGTCACGCTACAACATGTGCTTTATACGCTACACTGTGTCTTACACGCTACTGAAGTAATATATTTTTTTGCAATTAATTATGCTTTTAAAAAGCTGAATATTTAGCAGAGTACAGGGAATGGATCGCTTATAAAAAGACGATCCAGGCCGTCCTAACCCGTCTGGACATCGTACAGAGTGTAGGCTCAAGCCTTTGTTGTCCAGGTGGACATCAAGTCACGTTCCATTATCGTTTTTTAACTGTGAGAGTAGGCGCACACCGTTGATTTTTCGTCGGCCGATAGTTTAGTCAGGCAGTTGATCAGTATGGGCATGTATGGGAGTGCGCACACTACGCCGATTCGATTTGGCCAATTCTTCATACAAATTAAAATCGGGCACAACTATCGGCCAACTAAAAATCAACGGTGTGCGCCTACTCTAAACAGTCACATACTAACGCACACTGACAAGCGCTAACGTACACATCTATTTATGTACAATATTATAATGATTTTATATTTATTTTCAGGTCTGCTAATGTTCTACGACCTGCGGGCAGGCAAATACCTAGAAAGCAATATCCATTCGTCCAAGACGGTCACACTAAGGGCTTCCAGAGGCTATGTAGTGAGTTGCTTCCATTTTTCTAAATATTTGTACGTTTTTAAGTTCTCCCAGATAAAAATGCGCTCCTAGATAAAAATGATTCTGATTTTGATAAAAGTTCATGCGCCGAGTTCAGGGATTCACTGAATATTATACTTTGATCAAATACATAAAACATATCAAAATCAGCTGCGATTGCCGAGGTGGTGCAACTCGGCCTAAGTCTTTTTATTTTGTAAATTATACAAAGCTCTTGGCCTGCATCTTACAAGGTTTACGCGCGTCAGAAGTCAGCGGGGTTACTCCGAAAAACTGTATCGGAAGTTTCGAATGTTGCCATCCCTCTCACGCATAGCGAGATGCCAGCATGAGCAGGCCTGTTCATCTCCGCGAGTTTACATCGAAAACAAAACACGCACGATGGCCCACCTACAGGATACTATTCGACAAGGCCTCACATACGAGCGAACATTGACTCACGCACGCGTATTCTTGTGTATGATGGAAGAAAATAAAGAAAATGGTGTACTAAATACTGTGCAGTATTTAAATGCCTTAATAATAATAAAAGCACAGAATGTACTTTTTAAGTTGCCTCAAGACACAGAGGTAAATAAGTAGTTAATATTATTCATGCTAAATCATGTATTTCCTCTGCCATTTTCCGCAGTTTGGCACCTCACGTCACATCATTTTACCGAAGTCAGCCCTATAACTTCGGCGCAGTGCCGATCACTGAAGTTTGTTAACAAAATGGTGCTTGACTCTTGAGACAGGCTAAATTACACCGTATTGTTAATGACATTGAGCATACATTTTTTTTTAATACCTTCGCGAAGTAAAACTTCTGTACGTAGTACTTAGTATTATTCTGTGGTAGTACTTATTATTATTTTGTGGCATGAGCGACGGTGACAGATAGAATTACGTAAACCGCGTATTTTTCTGTAACCTGTCAATAACGTGTCACGTGTGTTTCTCCAGTTTCCGGACCAAGAAGAGGACGGTTACAACCAAGTAAAGTACGTGCCAGCCATCTACACACACTGCTACGACCACTCTGGGACGCGAATCTTCACAGCCGGCGGCCCGCTACCCGCGACCCTCGTCGGCAACTATGCTGGGCTATGGCAGTGAGCCCACCGCTGGCGTGTGGGCGTGGGCAACTAGACCACGCCTCATCCCAGCTGTGGGCTGGAGTATGAATGTTGATACCTAGTTAAAAACTTTATACTATACAGGGTGTTAGGTAAGTGGGTATATGAGCCGACACCAGCCCATGTTAACATGGGCATATAAATGGTATGGTGAAGTCAGAAAATTGATGTCTTCATTTTAATTATTTTAATTTTCATACAAATCGGATTTTATAAAATTTATTTTGTATGAAACATAAAAAAAAAAGATGATATAAAATTTCTGACTTCACCATACCTTTTATACCATATATTTTTTATTTTTTATTTTTTTCACCATATATTTTATGCTACTGTCGGCTCAAATACCCATTTACCTAACACCCTGTATAAAAATTTGTACATAAATTAAGATCACAATCTATCCCAGCTGCCGGTCTCTGGTTTAGTGATTCCTAGTTTAAATGTTTGTTAAGATATAAAAAATAACGCCCAAACCCAACTGTGGGCGACTGGTGGGCTATAAATACTACACAAAATCGAAAAGTCGCAACCCCAGCTGTGGCTAAAGAACTAAGCTGGGCTAATTATTCTAGATTAAAACTAAACAGCATAAAAGGAAAAAGACCACGCCCAATCCCAGCTGTCAGCTTTAAACCAAGCAAATAAATATCTATCTATTTATCTATCTAATCCCAACTCTGAGCAACTTTCGCAATGTATAGACATGTCAATATGTATAATGAAGTAACTACGAATCGCATGTGCCTCAATGTCAAACACAAATGTTATTTTACTACTGTTAGTCATCGTTATAGTTTTCTGAAACTAACATCACATTTCGTGACTAGAAACATGATACATAACGTCTGTAACACTACATTTAAATCACAACGATTATTGAAGAAAACTCAAGCAGAAAACCAGTTTTTGGTAACAATTTTATAAACCAGTCTCATCTAGTTAGATTTGTAGTTGAGTTACCAATGGTGTAAATGGGCGTGACTTAAGTAAGCCACGCCCATGTCTTATGAATGAATCGGTGCGGTTTGCACTTGAAACTGATATAAAGCCTTTACTAGTTGAACCCGAGCACAACTTTTTATAAACCAATGTCCATAGACCACGCTAGAATTGTTTTAATGTAATAAAAATGTGTACGTTTTGAAACGTGCATGAGGGATAAATGTGTAAAAAGCAGTGGAAAACTTGACTAAAGGATTTGACGTAAAACGTAATTAGCTAATAAATAAAAATTGGCAAATTTTGTGTGTATGAGTGTGTAATAAATGGGAAACTTACTTCCGAAACATTGAATTTACAAAAGCCAATATTTAATGTGTTAAAATTACGTCATATTTTACAACTACATGGCTAAAACTATTTGTCATGAAAGTTGAGTCATTTGTCTTGTGTTGATTTGTGCTCATCTTTCACTACAGTTTTGATATTATTGTTTTTGCTCTAAAATATAACATAATCACCATTTTGAGTGGAAAGTATTATTGGCCCAGCGAAAGGTTGTATGCTGTGTTTAGTTTTTTTTTGTACATTGTCTTTGTGGGTCTGAATAATTTGTGTAATTTGTCTTATTTGGACTTTTTTATACAAATATTTTCAGGTCGATTCAGTTTTAGGTTTTGTGGACATGGCCCTTCTAGATTTGTAAATAAATTATTTTGTGGTCACAAACACAAGTTGTCAATTTATTATTGTATAAAATTAAAAAGAAATATGTACATATTTATACTTGGATTGTTTGTATAAAATAACTTGTATCCATCGAAATTATTTACCAGTGGGCCTTTCTGATTTTTCCCCCAAGTATATCTACAGTTTTGAGCCCATCAGTATACGAGGGGCGGCTGAAAAGTTTTGAGCCTAAGTATCTTCAAGTGCTATTATTGAGTCGCTTTAAATTTATTTAATTTGCCAATAATCTCCTTAGTATATGTACAAAGTTTCATTTCATTAGCGTCATCGCGCTTTTAGTAATTAATCAGTAAACATCATCATGTCTCAGTCATCCGCGCAATGTACGAAATCGAAGTACACAGTTGCCATAAAACTCCTCAAAAAGAGGAACAAAACGCTGACGGTAACATTTGAAGAGATGTCTACAGTTTATGGGGAGTCTGGGCCTTCATTTGCCATCATGAAATATTGGATCCGATAGTTCAAGCATGGCAGGGAGTCGCTAAAAGATGACCGCAAGTCAGGGCGGCCAGATTTCGCCATTAACGAATAAAATAATGAAAACTTAAAAAATCTTGCTTTAGAGATCAGCGAATTAAGTTGTGACAGATAGCTGAAGCCATAGGCATTAACAAAGAACGTAACGGCGATATTTTTCATACTCATTTGCACATGAAATAGGGGTGCGCGCGATGGGTGCCAAAAATGCTCTCGCCGCTCGACAACCAGCGTCGAGTCACAACTTCGCAGGAGTTTTAGGACATCTTTGACAATAATCCTAACAATTTTTTTTCTCACATTATCACTATTGATAAATAATAGATCCGGCAGTACGATCTAGAGTCAAAATAAGAGTCACTGCAATGGATTAAAAAGGGAAAACGCTGCCGCGGAAATTCAAAGTGGAGCGATCGACACCCAAGCTCATAGCCACTATTTTTGGGATTGTGGAGGAATTTTATTCATTGACTACCTACTTAAAAAAAACTACAATAAACGGGGATTATTATGCTGTACTGTTGATAGGAGTGCGTCAAGTGGTTGTTGAAATATTAAGAGGCAAACTGGCGAAAGGAAATCTGTTACTGCAAGACAATTCAACCGCGCACACCGCGCATGTTGCATGGCTTACTTAATCACCCACCACACAGTTTAGTCCGATTCTCTAGCTATTTTGTCTAATTCTCAAATTGAAAAAAAAAACCTCCAGGAACAAAGATTTTTGAATGACAAAGAAAGGAAGGCGGCGTTAAAGGCTCATTTCGAGGGCAAAGATTGCGAATTTTTTTTCAGTGGGTTAAAAGCTCTTTTACACAAATGTAAGAAGTCCGTTGTAGTAGAGGGAGATTAAATAGAAAAATATATTTTTTACACTTTTCTATCGGCATTTTTAATACCCTAGGCTCAAAACTTTTCAGCCTCCCCTCGTAGGTATCTGGTGCAGCGACTAATAAAATTCGCTAATATCGACATTTCTATAGTCGATTAGAAAATTACCTTCATAAATCTCAAGTTCATAAATCCCATTATTTTTATCTAAAGTCCTCCATAAGTTTTTCTTCCTACAAACGTAGTTTCTTCGCTTCATAGGAATAAAGTTTATTTTTGTTTAATTATAAGTTAAGTCATTTTTGACGGAACTACGTTTGTATGGAAGCATATAGATCATGGTAATAACCGATAGAGTTAATTTCGCACTTGGCAGCCGTGACGTCACATCAACCACGGTAATAATATCATACAGTATTGTAACTTCATAAAACAGGCGAAACGAGAACTTTCTTTCGAAATTCAAATCTCGGTATGCGCTCGGTATGCAAAAGTCGGGGGTGTCGCGAATGTGCCGAATGGACGTCTGTGCCCAAATGTTAAAAATGACAAAACTGATTGCATTTGAGTGACCGTCATTTACGGTCAAATTGTTCAAAAACTAGTCAAATTGTCATTTTCAGTCAGTTTGATTTGAAATGAAAATTATAGTGTATTAAACTAGCTTTTGCCCACGACTTCGCTCGCCCGAAATTTACGTAACAGATCATTATGATTATTAAAGTTTCAAAATTATTTACGTAGTTTTAAATAAATTAAATCTACTAATCACAAAACAACACACATTTTTAACCTATTCCATTCACAAAGTATTTTGTTTGTCTAACTAAATAAAAAAATACAATCACAAAACTAGATAGAAATTTCTAAGTAGGCAGATGTAATTAAACTGGGTACTGTAGGTGGGCAGCCCTATCGCATGTTGTCATACTGTGACGTACCGCGCGACTGTTGACATTTATTTTAAAAATATGGCCGAGTTGGAATACTGTATAGATAGTATTACCGTGCGAAACGAGAACTTTCTTTCGAAATTCAAATCTCGGTATGCGCTCGGTATGCAAAAGTCGGGGGTGTCGCGAATGTGCCGAATGGACGTCTGTGCCCAAATGTTAAAAATGACAAAACTGATTGCATTTGAGTGACCGTCATTTACGGTCAAATTGTTCAAAAACTAGTCAAATTGTCATTTTCAGTCAGTTTGATTTGAAATGAAAATTATAGTGTATTAAACTAGCTTTTGCCCACGACTTCGCTCGCCCGAAATTTACGTAACAGATCATTATGATTATTAAAGTTTCAAAATTATTTACGTAGTTTTAAATAAATTAAATCTACTAATCACAAAACAACACACATTTTTAACCTATTCCATTCACAAAGTATTTTGTTTGTCTAACTAAATAAAAAAATACAATCACAAAACTAGATAGAAATTTCTAAGTAGGCAGATGTAATTAAACTGGGTACTGTAGGTGGGCAGCCCTATCGCATGTTGTCATACTGTGACGTACCGCGCGACTGTTGACATTTATTTTAAAAATATGGCCGAGTTGGAATACTGTATAGATAGTATTACCGTGCATCAACGCTCTGGTACGGACTAGGCAAACGCGGGGAGGTGTGCGGGTAAAGGAGAGTCGCATTCCAGTCAGGTGCGCAGTTATCTCAATCGGATTGTATGGATGAAGTTAGGAAGTACGTAGCTTATTTTAATATGTGGTGGTAACCGGCGCTTGCCGTCGTGCAATACTGTGTGGTGTTTGATTTAAGCCGTATTACCTCAGTGTGATGTACGGAGCGAGATTACTTGATACTTTTGATATTCAAGTGCGAGTGAGAGGAACAAGGTCGACATATTTAAAAAGGGAAATCTGATTTTTTCAATTTGTTTTAGCCTGACTGTAAAGTTCAAGCAAGCTATCTCGCTCCCACGAAATTGTGTTAGAATAATCTTTGTATTACACATAGGTGATTCTACGACAAACCTAGTTGTAACGAAACCATAGGTAAATTCTCCGAAAACTAGTTGTAAACCGCAAATTATAGTTGTAAGATGTGAGCGGGTGTGGTTTTTACGTGTAATTTCATACTAATAATCCAGAAATTGGACGCGACGAATAAAAGACTTGAATATGCCGACTTGAGATACACTTTCATTGTAACCCATCCCTAAATACAAAATTTTTGACGAACAAAATTAATTAAACATATCCTCTGAACAATATTACGCAAGAAGTAAAAATACGAGCACTATCCTACATTACCTTTGTTTTGAGATAGATCTTAGATAAATTTCTATAATAATATAGAAAAAACGTTTACGATTTGTATAAAAAGTTTAATTAAGCATTATAAATGCAATTCAATTAATCACATCATTACAAAAAGGCCGCAGTTACATAAAATTGCAACTCAATTTTACCCTCAGAATACGGAACAAACCAGAAACCGTCAACGGGCGTAAATGTGTATTCATATAAAGTACTCCAAATCGCACTACTTTGACTTTAGAGCAATCAGTCAATGGCCGGCGCGCGCATTGTTTACATATCCGTCAGATTGACACTTTATAATTAAATTATGCCGTCTTGTGCCGTTCCAACATGTAAGAATGCTACTGGAATTACGAAGAAAGTGCATGGGATCATGTTTTATCCGTAAGTAGCACATTTCCAATTCATTTTAATTAAATAATAATTTTCAAAAAAAATCACGGTTGTATTTTGTAAGTGTTGCCACAGGTCAACGGAATATTTTACCCTACTTTTTTATATTGAATTACATTTGTCTACTTATAAAAAATTCACGCGTTAATTTTGTTAGCGTTACCACAGAATAATGGAATATTTTCCCCATCCTTTTTGTTTTAATTAGTTTTTAGTGTAATTTCATCCATGACATGACAACCTGATTAATTAAATTATAAGTGCCACTTGTGGTCTAAACTGAATAAATATTTTTGATTTTGATTTGATTTCAATATATTGAATTAATTTATAATATTACTCCCTAATAATGAGGAGATAATAAATTACTATCGTGAATTTCATACTTTCCCATTTATTCAAAAGTAAGGCATTGGTATCAACAGATCAGCAGCAGCAATATTTGTATATTTAATAATAATTTTAAGTAATTAATTATTGCTTACATACTTACTCTGATTTTTTTTCAGGATACACAGCCAGAGTTGCCTCGCAATCAAATTTAAGTATTGGTGATGTTTTTGATTTGGATTCTGTTTTTGACTCCAAGAAAAGTTAAACTAAAAGCACTACTGCGCCGTAAACAAATGTTTTGTTGTCGATATGTTTACATAATAAAGAACCTTAAGTTTCTTTTTTGTTTTACTTGGCATTCTAAAATTTATATTCGACTTTTGTAATTGACTTTTAAATAACATATTATACCTACATAAAATATAGTACATATATTACACTATTTAATAGAAATAAATAATCATCTTACACTTAGTTACTTCGGAGTAAAAATTAAATTCATAGGTAGGTAGGTACTATCTATGCCTATGGCCAGTCATGTCGTCTCGTTCTATCGCAAAGAATCACCATTTGATAAGAGCGAGAGCAAAAACGGAAATGGATAGTTAACACTGGCCGTGTGTACTTATTTCACTTACTTATTTTTTACTTGTTTAACATCTCTTTAAAAAATTACATAATTTTACCCCAAAAATGGGGGTGTCACACGGCGCTAGTAACACTAAAGGGGGTAGAGGGGCGCGGGAGGGGAAGTATTTTGGACACAAGTTGCCGCGTAGAAATGTTATCGAACACTCCTTCTGGTTTGTTCTGTATTCTGAGATTTTACCATAAAAATAATACTTTACAATCAATAGAGGATATCACCATTCAATCAATATTTTAACAAGCATAGAGAACTGAAGGTAGTATAAAATGAAGATTGACACCTTAATAAATGGAATCTACCATAAAATGATGAATCTCTAGTCTTTGTGTTGGACTTTGTCCTGAGCATAAGTATCAAATCAACCGTTGAAACTATAGCAGGTTGACATACTTGGCAAACAAAGGAAAATATAAGAAAGAGCTCACCACATACAATAAGCCTCCTTATAAAATCGTCAGACCATAGCGCGGGCGCTCGTTTTACTTCGCGCATACCAGTAAACAATTTTATTGTATTTGAAAGGGTACTTGATGGCCAGTAGTAAATAGGAAATCTATGAGTCTGCTGGCTTCGCTGGCACCACCCAGCCAACAGGAAGAGGGGACCCTGTACTGTCCAGGAATTGATCCCATTGGCATCTGGAAGGGTAAGGATACAAGGTAAATATGAAATTGATTCAGATTTAATTTCAATTTTAATATAAATGTCATAAAAAAAAAAGCAAATTGTTACATAGCAGATGAAATAACACTCAGTGTTTCATCCCACGGGTACGAGTAGAAACGCGCAATATATCGCAACTTTTGCAACTATACTCATGTTATGAAAATAATGGCAGTGCAGTTTATGGTGCATTTCTTTTACCTTAAATATTTTATAACAAGAATAGCTAGTATTTTACCTGACGGCAACAAATCTCTCCGCATGCCCATTGAAGTCCACTTGTGGGTTTGCAGTGGAGTCCCCAAAGAGAGCTCGTTTCCACTTTCTCAAATTAGAAGTCATTTGCTTCTCCATTTCGTTAGCTTTGGCGGCTTTCTGCTCATCACTGTCTTGCTTCAGTTTATCGCGGAGATTTTGTTCTTCCTTTTCATAACTGATTAGTTTTTGGCCCCAAAGCAACTTTAGTTTATCTGAAAGGTTTTAAAAACATTAAATAGATCCAAGTCAAACTACTAGGTGTACAAACTGTTCACAGTGTAGACTTGATCATACCAAAATCTTCCCACATGCAACACATTAAGAATCTTCAAATAAACAAGTAATTACTTACCAATTTTGCCATCAAATTCTTCTGCTTCTTTTTCTGAAACATTTTCCCCTCGACCTTTGGCTGTGTTCATTCTTGCTTTGCGCAATTTCTTTAAAGCATCCAGTTTAGCTATGAACTTCTTGGCATTATGTTTCTTCCGTAACACCTCTTTCAGGATTACATCAGCTTGAAGTTTTGCTTCTTCTTCCTAAAATATTATGTTAAAATGATGATTATGTGAACGAACATTCATTATTTTATTACTATTTGAGACCAAATTTTACAAATAATGACATTAAAAAGTTAAATTGATTATGTTATTTTGCACAATGAAATTTGTTAATTACATACCTCTTTAGCCTTGACAACAGCATCCTTTATCTTCTGCAAGTTCTCATCAATCTTCCTCGATTTCTCTTCTAATTCTTTGATTCTCTCTTCTTTAGCCCTCTTTAGTTCTATGTTACGTCTCTTCAAGCGCTGTCTTTTAGCAGTTCTCTTTGCTATAGCCTTTCCTAGATTACTCATGTAAGTAGTTTTAATTTCTGAAAGTGATTCTCTAACAAATGCCTTCTTCAACTTCACCTCTTCAAGTTCTGACCTCCATTCCTCATCTGAACAGGAGTCTATCTTGTCAGTTAGAAGATTTTCTCTGTCTCTCAAATCATTCAGAGTCAAAATCAAGTCTCGAAGTTTACTACGGACTTCAGATATTGAGACTGCGTTTGTTTTTCTTTTTATTGGAACTTTTGGTAATTTTCTTTCCATCTCTTTTGCGCACTCGTTATCTAACATTTCTAATGTGGGTGCAGACGGAGAAGGAGGCGGCATAAAAAATAATCGAGGGGGCGGCGGCGGCGGCGGGGGCACCACACCCGGCGGCCTCATGGGTTGGAATGTATGGTGATTCCCACGAAAATTATTATAAAAGTGATGGTTATTCGACATGATTGCAAAAAATATATGTATAATACTATATCAATAACTAGAATTATGACGAAACAGGCTCGGGCAGCTGGCACTCAGCGTCTTTCAACACTTGTTGGGCAGCAATATAATCTTCGTGCTCTTTGAGGTCCTGTTCTGTTTCAAGAGTATTTTTTAAGTCTGCAAATGCTTTGACAAGTCTGAAATTGATGGAAAAGTTATTATTTACCGCATCAAACAATACAAAATGAGTCATGAAAAGAGCCTGGAATCTATTGTTCATAACATGATGACTCATGATGACAAACTTAGATCAATAAAGTCAAACATCCACTAATTTCCTCTACTAGAGTTTTTATCATGACTTTATGTAAATTACTTTTATTATTTGCAATAGTAAATAACATTTTAACCTTATAAAAAGTAACCTAACCTCACAACATCTGCTTTAGCAACGAGAAATTACATTGGAAATACGCAATATAAAGCTAATTAGTTAATGTACACTTATTAAACAGGTTAGAAACTTTAACAATTTACCTTCTTTGGCAGTCCGGGACCATCATCAGAGACTCTTGGAGCACTTCTTCTTGCTTTCTGATGTCATGTTCGTCTTTACCCTCGTCCTTTAACTTTTGTACCCTATTCTTCTGTTGCTCTGCCTCCTTTTCATACACCACTTTCTCCTTGGCGATGCGCTTCACTACACCCGTCTTTATTTTAATTTGTCGAATCCTAGGATCTGCCATTGCAATTGCAAGGATAAATTGCCGCTTCGCTTCGTTCGTCCACTTTTGTTTTTTTACAGCAGAGCCAGCAGAGGGTAGGTGACAGATGGTGCAACCAAACGTCAATGTCAAACAGCAATTTTATTATTAGACCGTCCAGTCCGTATGACACACATGACTTTGAGCCAGAAAGCCATTATTAACTGGAGGTGCTTTATTTAAATTACCCCTCCATTTTTAACCCCCGATGAAAAAACGACACGGGATGTTTATTTCAGTGAATTCTATTATAAAACTAAATAACTCAAATAAGTAGAATGAACCATCGACAAAAATATGAACTCACTCTCCGCATTTGTTGGTATATTATGCCTTCTCCATTGTAATTTTGATAAAATTACCCCTGAAATATACCCGCGAAAAAATGTTAAATTTGGAAAACTTAAAACCTAGGCATAAAAGTTTTTCATTTCATGAATATTTCCTGTTGAATCACCTAATTTTCTTGAAAGGCTTGAATTGCCAACTAAGTAAATGTAGTAGCGGGTCAATATAAGTAAGTACAGAGAGATTTTCTGTTTTAATTCGTAGTTAATAGTAATTACCTATGTAAGCCAGCTATTTTAATTAGTAAATACCTAAATAGGTAGGTAGAAAATACCTTACGTAACTTTTAAGTATAGATATTCCAAACTTGTATAACTACTCTTGAGATGGTATCTTATCGCCATGGTATTTTGTTAACAACAAGTTCCTATTTTGGTATTTAGTAACCGTTATTGTTTCAGTTTATTTTAACACCACATCCCACGACTGTATTCGCATCTTAGCTTGCTAGCTAGCTTTTGCTTGCTTCTTCTTTTCAAGCCAAGAAGTACTGCATCAAGCAAGACCATGATTTATGTCTTTATTCATTCGTCAAGTATACTCTAGCTAGAGTCTACTGCTTAGTACTGTAACATCTATCTAGCTAGGCTATACAACCAGTCAAAAATTAATTTTGTTTTTGTATTTACGAAAGACTATCTTTTCAAAAGTGTGTACGATAAAGTGCCATCTAGAAAAAGTGTACCTACCATTGCATAACTTTTTTAACGTAACTAACACAGGATGTTTCACAATAATTTCAATGGCTTCGATTTGTTTTTTATTCTTTGTCAGAAATGCGGTGCAAACTTTGAAAAGGTTTGGAGATTTTACAATAATTGGACTTACTTACTGGAACATAACTGAGACGAAATTTATTTATTTATTTATTTTATTTGGTTTACCAGAAATTGTTACATTAATGCTTACACAGTATACATACAGCCATAGTGGTAATAACTGAATGCACAATTAATTTAAGGGAAACACCGCATGCAATATATATTAGTAAGAAATGCTACCTAAAGGCGAAAACGATCAAACGAAATGCTACCTAGAGGCTACTGCTAAGGGTGGGCGGGCATGGGTCCCGACTCTCGTGTCCCCAACTCATAGGACTCCTGATGCCATTGGCTGGTATTTAGTAGGTAAACCCTAGCGGGAGCCAGTAACATATCCCATTAACTGTCTCCCCGGTTCTCCCTCTCCTCCAGGGTAGGTAGATATGCATATGCAGTGCCTGATGGGACAAAGGGTAACATGATCTCAATAAATGCAACTGCCAAAATACAACTATGGCGATACCGGTGATCTCTCACTTTTGGCATCGGAGTACAGTGTTTGACAGAAGTTTTACTAAAGAGTACAAACTGGAATTGGAAGTCTCACATAACTAACGCCAATGACTCTACCTAACTACGTGATTAGTGGATATCGTAGAAAACGGCGACCACAACGTACCTAATGACTTAGCACAAAACGAAATAAAAAGCATCCCCCGCTAGATTGTTTAGGGATTTAAAATAAGAATTTATCTGTCACTATCGATGTCCTCTGTCGGATAACCGACGATACGACGAGATAAATAGACGAATCACCAGAGCGCGGGCGCAGTGGCCGAGCGAGCAACATGAAGTGGTTCTTATTTTTGGCAGGTAGGGTTAATTTTATCTTAATTAATTATTTCACTGATTAAGGCCCAAAGCCCAAGTTCACCAACAAACGGTTTCAGTTAAACAAACCTATACCTAAGTACCAATTTAAATATACTCGTAGTACTTCTGATCTAATGAATTCGATTTTTCCGTTTTTGGAGCTTCTCATCATGTTGAAATAACGGATTTACAATTACATACCTACTTACTATAAGTTACTATGAAATATTAAATACTATTTCATATCAATGACAGTAAATTTTCCCCCAGGAAAATGAAAAAGCCCATGTATGGTTAGGTTTCTATTGGCGGTCAAGCTGAAGGTCCTGGCTACACGGGAGTTGCAGCGGTCGGAACGAGAGGATTCCTACCTCCCATATAGTAATTCATATCTTCGAATGCATGCCTGAATCCCAAGTCTAAAATTTATCCCTCACACCATTGACCCCAGCAGAATCCAAACCCACAACTGCATCTTAAACTTATTTTGTTCCCAGGAGTTTCGGTGGCGCTATGCGCGGTGGCGAAGCCCAACAAGGCGTCCATAAAGGTCCCTGTAAAGTCCTCCGTGAAGGCCACCACGCGCGACTTCTTCCTCAATGAGAGGGAAACCGGCGGCCACTCCATGGTCGTGCTGACCAGCAGTAAGTATACCTTCATTTATCAGCATCATTACAGGTTCACTACCATTATTTTTATCTATGTGATTAGATGTAATGTAATGAGAAGTCACATTTATGTTCTTCTGAATAGCACTGAATATTCAGCTATGACACAATAGGGTCTATTGCTGACCATAGCGCGTTATCAATGGTAGCTACACAACTTTATTGATCAGTATTATTAGGTCTCCAGATTACGCGAGTTAACCGAAATGTCATGTCACTTCAAATTACCAAGAGGTAAGATCAACAATATGATAGCAGTACCTAAGTATTTAATCTCCCGCAGAGATGTTTGCCGGTACTTGAGAGATAAGATCTTTTTTGTTCACACCCGCAATGGTATTTACTATTTTATCAATAGAAAAACCCTTTGACGTGTAATATATCTATAAACACGTGATCGTCACATGTCTGAGTGACTAGGTGGTCTACTATCAGATAGACAGCCTAGTCACATCAGAATAATCTAGCTAGTACAATAACTTAGCTTCAGAGAATCTAATTCAATAGTATAATATTGTTAACATGAAATTAACTGCATTACGTTTCCATATCATATCATATCATGTCATAATATCTATATTCTCCACTCAAGAACCATGCCAAATTACAAATTCATGAAACATAAGAAGTTAACTGATAACATTAATGTTCTCTTTCCAGACAAAGGCAGCATCATCCTCGGGCACGTCGGCCGCAAGGCAGCTCTACATGAAGAGGGCGTGACCTTCGACATGGAGGCGGCTCTCGATGAGGCCAGCGGCGGATGGAAGGTGTCCGTCTCCTGGGAAGGGCCCAGCGACAAGATCTTTGAGGACTGTTACAACTTCAGTAAGTTTTATTACAACTTCAACAAGCACTACACTTCCCCCACTTTTTCTCAGCACCAGCCCATATTATGTTGTCCCGAAGTGGTGGTAGGGCAAGCTATATTTGGGACGTGTATAAGTGCCCTGGAAAGGGCCTATGTACTGAATAAACTATTTCATTTCATTTCACTATTTATTCTAATAGATAAATATCTACAATAACCTAATTCTTTAATTACAGGACACAAAGAATGGTACGGAGGCCCTGAACAGAAAGAACAGATCTGGCCACTCCAGAAGAGCAAATTGGAAAAATACTCCATGATCTCCAAGGAGGACGACAACGCAGCCGTTTCTGAGAGATACTGGCTCAACTCCGCCGGTTACTACTTCTACGTTCACCCTGAAGCTCCTCTCTTCGTTGACTACCACAACGTAGAAGAAAACCATATCTGCTTCATCTCCGAAGTAACCGCTCCTTACTCCACCAAACGCACCCGTAACGTCCTGAAATACGACATCTGGTTCTTCGACGATCCGAAGATAGCTCATCAACACGCCGTCGACACTTACCTGGGCAAGCCATCTGGTATTCCCGACTACAGAATGATCCAATACCCAGTCTGGTCTACCTGGGCGAGATACTCCCGAGAAATTGACCAGGATCTGCTCTGGAAATTTGCAAACGAAATCGTTGACAACGGATACCCGAATGCCCAGTTCGAGATTGACGACTTATGGGAAATCTGCTACGGTTCTCTGACCGTTGACGAGAGGAAGCTTCCCGACTTGAAGCAACTGATTCAGGACATCAAGTCACTGGGCTTCAGAGTGACTATCTGGGTGCATCCGTTCATCAACAAGGACTGCGATCCTTGGTACTCGGAAGCTTTGGAGAAAGGGTAAGATACTTTGGACAGTAGATTTACCGTTTTCAATTCTAAATTAAGGAAATCAATGCCTAAATTTAAATAAACTTTCCAGATACCTAGTCTTGAATGAGGAAGGTAGCCCCGACACCTCGTGGTGGAACAACAACGGCTCCGTTCCCGGTTACATCGACTTCACCAACCCTGAAGCCTCTAACTGGTACACGCAGCGCGTCCAGAACCTCATCGACACATACGGCATTGACAGCTTGAAGTTTGACGCCGGAGAGTCTAGCTGGTCTCCTCAGGTAACACGTTAGCAAAACAGGAATTCTTCTTCTCTGAAATTGCCGTTCCCAGATTTCGGTCTTTTGCTCCATAAAAGACTTTGAATTTGAATTAAGGTACAATATTTCGATGTAGGTACTGTCTCTAATTCCTGTTGTTCCACATTTAGGTCCCCGTTCAAGATGGCGACATCGACCTTCACCCCGGTCACATTGTGGCGGCGTACGTACGCGCCGTGTCCCAGTTCGGGCCCATGATCGAAGTCAGGTCCGGCATGAGGTGAGCAACCCTTACTGTTGAATTATGAGGTCACCATAAGCACAGCTTATCTGGAAGGTCATAAGGCGACCCCCTCGGCCCTCATACCTTACTTTAGCAAGCATGAAAAGGGTGGTTCTAAATCTATTTAAAGTCTGTAATTTTATGATTCAAGTGTTTTTTATCCACAACGAGGAAGCTCTTGGCCTGCTTTGACTTTAACTTTTTTTTAACTTAGGACCCAAGACCTGCCCGTCTTCATCCGTATGGTCGACAAAGACACGTACTGGGGCTTCAACAACGGTCTCGCGACCCTTGTCACCACCCTCCTGCAGATGAACCTCAACGGCTACACATTAGTACTACCTGACATGATCGGAGGCAACGGGTACAACGACAAGCCCAGCAAGGAGCTGTTCATAAGATGGCTGCAGGCTAATGTTTTCATGCCCACGCTGCAGTACTCCTTTGTGCCGTGGGACCATGATGAAGAGGTAAGCTTGAAGTCGGAAAATATCTTGAACATGTATCATTGGTGAAGTTATAAGTTTTTATGAGAGTCCAAGGTTCAAAGGTTTTTCATCCTTGGCTTTGAGGGAGACCTCTCGATCCTCAATTCTTTAACTGATATTTTTGTGCATGAACTGTTTTATAATTTTTCTTCGTTTCAACCAAACGATGTCCACTCTAGAACCAATACCACCTCCAAGGGTTTCCACAATAAGTCCACCAAGTGGTAGCTCTACCAACACTACGTTTTCCGGTCCGTCGTCGGCCGTCACCACTTGAGAACTTTTCGCCACAACGGCTATCAGTTCTACGAGCTATGTACTGCCCACTGCCACATAAGTGTGACAACTACTAATCATTTCTTAGTGCAATCTAACATTCCATCGGTTTATTTCCAGACCGTAGAAATCTGCCGCAAGTTCACACAGTTACACGCGGACTTCGCCGACGCGATCGCAGCCGCCATGGAAGCGTCAGTGCAGAATGGCACGCCTGTCAACGCGCCTATCTGGTGGCTGGACCCTACTGATGAAGACGCACTACCCATTTGGGACGGTAAGAAGATCAATAAACCGTCATCAAAACAGTTCTTTCACCTTCATTCTTTCATTAATAAAAAGCTTGCCTTCAAAATTCATAAACCTCAAGGAATGTTGAGGTTTATGAATTTTGCAACCCTGACTAACGTAGGCAGTTACTAAAATTCTTCGGCTGGGCACATGATTGAATGATGCGGCGAAGCGCCTGTCAGTCATCTCAATTAGGTACTTAAGGGTTGAAGACCATGACCATAATATGGTATGGCACTAAAACACTAAAAGTCTAAGTTGCACCACCTAACTTTGACCTAAACTATAACGATAACCGGTGTTTTTGTATGGAGTTTGACCGTATGATTTTTGACGTTTGTCAAAGTTAAAGTAAGATGTTGCAATCGAGCCTAAGTTTGGAAAACTAGTACCTACTTCTTACGTTTTCCTAGTCTAATGCCCAGTAGTAACAGCCCACATAATAAAAGAAAATACCATTATTAGAAAACTGCTTTTCCTATGCACCTTTATTAAGAAAACTAGGAGAAAACCAATGCGTAAAAAATATAACCCTATCTTTCCAGAATTCCTGCTCGGAGAGAAGATCCTGGCTGCCCCAGTGATGGAAGAAGGCGCAGTCTCCCGCCACATCTACTTGCCCACTGGTCTCTGGAAAGACGGAGTCTCTGGCGAAAGCATCCAGGGTCCTATCTGGTTGATGGACTACCCTGCACCTCTTGACACCTTGCCTTATTTCGTTCTTGAAGACTAAGAAGCTGTGTCTACTCTTTTGGTTTTAATTGAGAGAGGTGTTGTGTAAATAAATAAGTTATTTATTAAATCTGTTATTTTATTTGACGTCTAACACTTCAGAAACATTAGGGCTCTAATATTTCAACTACTATCACGATGGAAATGAATAACAAGAAGTATGGGTTTTAATGATAAAGGATAAAAGATTTTTGAGATGGTGTAGTATATACTCATGTAGTAAGTTTCAATATAATTAGGAACAAAGAAAGTGAAATGTTTGTACATAAATAAAGTCATAAAAATTATGTAGGTACCCATTTAACATACTTCACAGTGTAGGTTGTACCAGGATAACCAAAACTTGCCGTCGGCTAAGAAATAGCATATAGATTCAATTACAAACCGTTACAAAACATTATATTTGGCTTTTTATGGCCTAAAAAGGCTTGTCAAAAGACCTTCATTGGCGCCCAACGTGAGGCAGCGATAGACACAGTCCGACACCATTTTCAGTAGAAGTTTTAGCATTGATTTACTACTTTTTGGAATAAAAATTCAATTATCCAATAAGCAACTTTAAAGAAAATTGAATCTTAAAAACCTATGTACTCTCTATGTATTGTTAGTTAGCAACCTAATGGGAGTTCCTAATAGAAACAGATTAGGTTATCGCCGGCTGATTTGTGCATTTCGTTATCAATGTAGAACAATTGTAGCGCTAAATCTTGCCCAAGAAGAGATATCCCTTTCAGCCCAGCCGAACACAATTGTGACGTTAGTTTAAAGATAAATTTTGGCGGTATTTTAAGACGTAAGTGATCGGGCCCACAGCCGCACAATTGTGACGGATATGCTCTATCTATTGGTGTGAGTAAGATAGCCAGCAAGCGCCGCGAGATTCAAATTAAAACGGGTTCATTTTGCCGTTGTTGTTGTTTAGGGTATCGCTGCGTGTGAGTGATTCTAATTACATTAAAATTATGCCATTGCTATGTTATTATTGTGATTTATAGTTAATTATAAACTGTTTTACGTAACAGTGAATAGATTTGTTTGTATTTTTGGTTAATTCTCAAGAAAAAGTGTCACAGAAGTAAAAAGTCACAATTGTATCACTGCGGGCCCAACTACATACTACATTGCAATGGCTAGATAATTTTTTTTTCTTAATTACGATACAATTGGGGAGTTACTGGAACAGTAAGATATGGAAGATGTTCATGGGGCATGTGTGCAAGATTAGAAGATTCTTACTCCTCCAAGAATGATGCTCCACTCTCGTCTTTGAGGGCAACCCCGAATCAAAATGACGGCAAATGGATAAAAAAAAAAGATTTCGTGGCAAGACTACTAGTCAAGCTCAAGATAATTAAAGTAATGAACAGCCCAAATCATTTGCGGAGTACTTAGAAATTTATTTTAATGGCGATCTGTTTGTAATGTTTGCTATCGCTGCTGAGCAATATTAAATGGCCGAAAAAGGCCAGCAAATGAAATCGCAATGTAGATCTAATGAAATTAAAATAATCTTTGGGGTTCATGAGACTATGAATTGCATTAAATGCCCTCGAATAATTTTTTTTTGTATTGTGACTTTGAATGAGTTGGGCCCACTATGATACAATTGTACGCCCCCTGAAAAACCATGAAAACAACATAGTACCACTGAAAATGTTCAATTTTCATTTTCTCTGATCCCCAAAGATATTGAATATCGAGTTCTTTTATTACTACCTTGTTTAGTTTCGTCGTGGGTCTGAAAGGGATATACCTTAAATCTAGAGTCGTTAGTCTAGATTTGGTACTTATTTTATTACAATGTAAAGTTTGACTGAAATGACATTCATGGAATCGTTAACTTTCCGTTAGTATTTAATCTACTTTTGGATGAACCCGTAAAACATTAGAAATGAGAATAAGGAAATGATGAATTACGAAGATTGTCAAAAAGATAACGCCGTAGACTGCTTCATTTAAAAAGAATGACAAACCACAAAAGCGTACCAGTAGTTAGGATTTCTAAAAGTTCGCGGATTTCACAGCTATTTCTGTAAATCTAAGTGTTACAAGACTTCTTTTCGTACAAGAAGACAAACTTATCTTGGCAATCTCCAAGATACGGCTGAGCCCTTCAGATATATCCCCGATCGATACGAGATGACAGCGTTATCGGAGTTGGAGGAGATCGATACCGGCACATAGCTCGACGGTGCGGCGGCGCAGTGCACGAAAATGGCTGTGTGGAGGTCTTTTTTAAGTGAGTCATTATTTATTTATTTATTTATAACTAGCTTTCCGCCCGCGGCTTCACCCGCGTGGAATTTTGTCTGTCACAGAAAAACAATATCGCGCGCGTATTTGCTCACCGTTTAGACCTACCCTGGACTACGGCAAACATTTTAAAACCAAAATCAGCTCAATCGGCCCAGCCGTTCTCGAGTTTTAATCAGACTAACGAACATCAAATCATTTTTATTTATACAACAATAGAAGATTATGATTTATTTACTTCCACAAAACATGGGCAGGCCTCCTACTAGGTGGACCAACGATCTGGTGAAGGTCGCGGGAAGAGCCTGGATGCGGGCAGCGCAGGACCGTTCATTTTGGAAAACTTTAGGGGAGGCCTTTGTCCAGCAGTGGACGTCATTTGGCTGAAACGAACGAACGAACGAAGTGGCCTTCAAATCGCACTTCATCATAACAAGGACTTGTAAATTGCATTAGAACAAGATGCCATCAAGGAATCTAAACGATTTAGCTTTACTTTGTAACACCGTATAGTTTAATAAGTGATGGATCCATTTACTAACTTTATCATTTTAAACATTTTATAGACAATGAAAGTAAAATTAGGTCTAATTAGCGATTCTAAAACTTTTTGACACCGAAGCCCTCAAAACAAGCTGAATAAATCGCAGAGTAAGTAACAATTATTCCTGTAATGAATTTACGTATTTCATTATTTACCCTCGAATCCGTTTGAATTTATAAGCTATCCTGAGGTTTCTGATATTCCCAGGACCTTACTGTTGGATGATTTATTTATTCTGACTAATAAAAATCTCAGAAATACAAATACGAAACAAAGAATGTGGAAATTCGAAGTGAATTGAATTAGAATCGAACTGAAAATCATTTCAATAGCTAAGTATGTCCACATATCTAAGTGACACAGTTGTCGAAGAGACACATAAAACCACCCTGTATATCGTATCGTATCGTAGATTGGTCCAAATGATAACCATATTGTTTTTGGATCTTTATGTCGTGTTCCATTAACAGATTGCGTATCAACCACTCTTAGATTAAAGATCGGTACCGACTGTGACGCAACATCATCAATCACGTAGAGGATTTGTTTGTGAAAACAAAAAATTGGGATCAAAAAATCAAAATCAAAATTATCTTTGCTATAGTTTTTAGCTAGATGTGCCCTCTTCTGTACTATCGGCAACAGTGTTAACTGCCCATTGCCAGTCATGTCATCTCGTTCTTTGAAAGAATCACCATTTGATTAGAGCGAGAGCAAAAACGGAAATGGATAGTTAACAGTGTGGCCGTGTGTACATTGCATATTGCTCTTAACCTGATAAACCCAAAACATACATTTTTTGTGCTTCAGACGGAACGCTGAAACCACACTACTATCTAAACTCAATCACACAGAACCACAGGACAAAATAAAAGATAAAATTAAATAACATACATAAGTCTAAACAGTAGCCCTCTTTGCTTCCAGCGCTAATGACGCTGGCTGCGCGTGCGCACCCAGCTCTGATCCTCCCGGAGCACACGCGGGCCAACGACCTCACACTGTCACTGGAGCCCATGATCACGGGCGGATTCGAAGTCATCTTGATCAATGAAGGTATTGTGCACATGCTCACCAAAACAATATTGATTAAGCTTAAAAAAAAGAACAGACCTAAAAAGATTGAAGGTTTACTTCAAGCGAGATGACAGGAAGCTCCGATGCTGCTGTACCAAATATCCACTTCACAAAAGAAATTCTCCCACGGAGACTTGTCTGTTTCTGATTTAGATCTACTAGGACAGTCTGCTTATATATGCTCTATTACCGCAATCAAGATTCTAACACACTTCAGAATTACTTCCACCCCATTAAATTACCATGAACCGTTTAACATCATCTTAATACGCCAGAATAATAAAGCAAACATCGCAGCACAATCAAAAATTTACATAACAATGCAACAATGCCAACGATAAGGCATGGAAATCAATGGAATCATTGAAATGTGATGTAATCAGTTAGCCTTATTATAATTAAGTACCAAGTTTTAGTACTCTAGAAATAATAAAAAAACTAGAGTCATACAATCGTACTTCTTACTACGTCAATAAAACAGCGAGCAGAAAATTGTCGGCGAGTTCAGGGTAATAAAAATGCAATCAATTTGCTGCAAGCTGCATTTGTTGTATAAAAACCAGACAGCAGATTTCTGACATTTAATTAGACTGGTGGTAACCCACTCCTAACACAGGTCATGGATTTAGCTTAGCTGGAATGAGAGTGCTCTACAAATTACTAATAGGTAATCAATCATATAAAAAACATCGGAGTCTGAAAAGCGATTCAGATAGAGCATTAGACAAAGACTATGAAATTCTAGTAATATTGTGTTCAAGAATGACATAATACTATGCAAACTGGGAGAGACTTATGACATTAAATTCGCAATGCTGATTGCATGCATTAAAGATTGTTCCCTCAGTAGCGAATGATTATGGCGTTTACTTGAAACATTTTAAATGACCCATCAAATTAACTGCTGTCATTAATCCCCAGATGACGAACGCAAAGTCCTCTCTCACATTGGTCGCACCCTCTTCGGGCCCTACACTATCGAGGACATCGAGGGCGGCGTGGAGGTCCACTTGGGCACCGCCAACCTGACCATCCACACGGTCTACGACCAGGCCACCAACGCGAGGGGCATCAAGTTCAACTGGGACGCGCCGGCGAATACCAGACTGGAAGACTGCATTGACTTTGGTAAATAATCTTTTGATTCTTCTACCATGTGTCAAGTGAGGTCACAATCAGACTTCAGAGTACC